TACGAGCGATGTGCCCAATTCTACTTCGAATGAAAAAAATTCGGGTAATTAGTAGCATCTAAAAAATTATTTCGTTCGATTTTACTGATTAATTATTCCTAAATTGAATTAAGTGTATGCGTATTTAAGTCACGTCTGCAGTTAACATTTAGCTAAATGCATGCAGTAACCACTTAAACCCTTCTCCCTCCCCCCTTCCCTCCATCCTTATTCGCCCGCTTCCCTGCCCATATTTTGCTTTCTTTGAGAAACGGAGCCACTCGAAAGTATTTCGGAAGTAACAAGTACCAACAGTAGTCATCTACTAGCAAGACTGATAGCTCTTTTTTTGACGGTTGCTTGCGAGCAAGTTAATGGTAAGTATTTGGCTCCCTGACAAATACTACTACTACTAGTTTACCGTAGAAACGGATCACAGGGAGGGAATTGCTTGTTTCAGTGACAGAAACGAGCTAAGGTTTGTAAGCTAAAATCTCCGACATAAAATTTTCTTTGCGAGCTAAAATTTGTAAGCTGAATTTCTGCCGTGTTTTAGTACTCCGCAAATCTGATCCAACCTACCAAATAGGCGTGGAAATCGAGTTTGTTGAATAAAAAAGAGTAATATTTAAGGGAGATTGCAGGATTAGAAAAAAAATAAAGATCAGTTGGGTGCAAGCACTGTTATAGGGAATACATTAATTTTTAGAAAAATTATTATGTAGCAAAAGACAGAGGAAAAGTATCTGAAGAGGGATTTTCCAGCCATCGGAAGTCTTGAGCTAAATCTGTTATATGTTACGCCTTCCAAACTGCCAACAGCTACCGTCGACTTGTGAGGATGTTAATGCTCCTCTTATTCCTCGAGGGATCTAAGTCCAAGCTCGAAATTTTTGTTTACCCACAGATATTTCTCTAAATTTATTGAACCTCTCTTTCAGAAATGCCATTACTAAGTCCGGTAGCATCACATACATTCAGTGCCAGAGAGGAGGTTCAGCAGACACAGTCAACGCGGACGCCACTGAACATAAGGCCGCTGAATAAGACTGCAATTGGCGAAATTACTCCAATTGATACGCTCTCATCTCTTTCGGAACCGTCAACTCTTTCAGGTTTTGTTGAAATATATATTTTTTGTTTTTATTCTTTCTAGAGAAGCTGCTTAGTTTTGTTGTATTTGTCTCCAAATTTCACGACTACCAAGATCGTCTGGATAATAAGTGTGGGTATCCCGTGTTAGTGATGTTACTGGAATGCTCCCACCTCTCCGAGCAAGGCTGTGCTAGGTCCTCTGGTCCTTAGCTATATGGCTTAAGTTAATAGTCATGGCCTGTCCGATATATATTGCGGATTTCACGTGGCTGTAATTCGTAGTTTGTTTCTCCGTTTACGCAATTGGCAGCTTTTCCAATCGCTTTGACCAGTGCTGATGGTCAACCTGTTGCGATCCTAATTTTTTAAATGAAATTATTTTAGCAAATCGATTATTGTAGAATTTGAATTTTGGAGATTTAATATATCAGATTTTTGAAATTCCCAGAAATTTTAGTGTCTTTTTTTTTCTGCATTCCGAACGTATGGCTATTTTGCAGCAGAGTCAGAATCATCAGCATCGGCTGTGGAATTGGTACCATCAATAGCAGTATCGGAATCTGTCACCAAAGCACCGCTTTCTGAACCAGTGGACGAAGCAGTAACATCAGCTTCAACTAGTGAAGTTCAAAAATCAACATCTTCTGGAGATGAAGTGAGGAAAAAATTAATAAACACTAGCAAATTAAGAAATATAATGCACTAAAATATTTAAGGAAATAAAAAATGGACTTTTTGTTTTTGTCCAAAAAATAAAAAATTTAAATCAAAAAAGAGAAGAAAAAAACACCCGCTGAAAAATTGGAAGATTTTTTCAAATTTCTGAAATGACTTATTAAAATTCATTTTCTATCGAATTTTTTTTTCATTTCTTGTCTAATCTAATCAATAAAATTTTACCAATCTGCTCAAAAATTGGATTAGCCGGAAACTGTGTTTGAATTTGGTTGAAGGACCGAAATGGTTTAAAATTCCGAAAATCGTGCCTGAAATTTAACACAAAATTCCGAAAATCGTGCCTGAAATTTAATAATCTAAATCTGAATTGGAAATCGAGCCTTTTCTTATGGAATTTGGTTAATCTTTCAGAATGCTCCAACTGTAGCTGGTGGATCTGGTGATGTGCAAAGCCAAGAACAGGATCATGGGCATGAGCATGAGCACGAGCACGAGCATGAGCATGAGCACGACGATGAAAGTTTATTTGTTGGCGATAAAACGTTGTTCAGTCAGGATAATACCATGAAAGCACTACAAGACTTCAGTACCACGCGTCCCGTTCCGGAATTACTCACTCCACCTGAGGCAAGTATTTGCCTTCAGCTTGTGGCTTTTTTCAAATTTCATGAGTGGCAGTGCCCTAACTGCCATGAGGAAGCATTCATTGAAAATAATACTTTTAATTGTTTGGAAGTTCAAAAGTAATTTTTCTTTTTCACTGGAAAGTTAAATAAAAATTTACTGTACTGAAAAAAATATTTTTAATTCATTTTTCCAGGAACTAGCTCTTTTTCCTGTCAAAATTCTAAAATACT